GTGCACCCCTTATTATATTTAATTAAATAGACACTAAATGGTAAATAGTTACACAAGTAATTATAAAACAAAAAGTTAATTATTAATTATTAAACAATATTATTATGTAAAAATACAAGATATTTCACTAATAGGGAAGATAGTCGTGTTCTTTTTAAGGTTACTATTAAGCCACTTCCAGAAAATAGTTGTTCACTACAAATTGATGCACGTAATGTACCCAAAAAATTTAAAATTACCGGTAGCAAGTGAAGACATGTTCGATGATTTTCTTTCCACCATTTTAATGGATCTACTGTTGGTTCAATATTTTTTAATTCTAAGGAGATTCCAAACCATGATTTTTTTTTTTCTTTTCCTTTCAAACACGCAATATAGGGATTTAGGGATTTTCTATTTCCAACGTACCGATCGATCTATTAAGGCGATAAGGATTTTAAAAACTGATTTGAATTCGTCGTAAAATCTTTTTTAGATCGATTTTCTCATATTTTTTAAATTTTATACTTAGCATACCCAAAAATTAATTTTTATGTTTTCAATTTGTTTAATCCTAAATAGGGTTTTTTTGTTGGGATCGAACTATATTGATTTTCAAATTTTTGTTCGAGTGTTCGGTTCGATTGGGTTTTTTTAAAACTTGGTTCGACATTTGAACTTCGAACAGTTTGACCCACCTTTACTATTAATCTTTTATAATATATTGTACTATTAATATAAATTTGATTTACATAGGTTTATGTTTTTGGGTGTTGATGAAAAATCAAATAAACACAAGCGTAACTTTCAAAACACAGACAGGTGTTAAAAAAGAACTACAAAAAAGTCGATTGTAAGTGGATCCGATTAGGTTAAAAAAAAAAACCACAAATATTAAGGACTTGTTTGATTTGAATATTACCAACAATTTTACTTGTGATTTTCTATGATGTTAACACTATTAAAATGTTTGAACGTACAAAACAACAAATAACAATATTTTTGTAATTGTTTGACGAAAAATTTAAGAAAAGTAAAAATATGAAATATATGGTAAGCATTAGGAAAAATTGTACATGTGATTATAATATATTGAGCCCCTCATGGCATTTTCGAAACCTAGCGCTTTTGCTGTTAACGTAATAATAATATGCGGTTAACGATGCGAATCTCGAATGATTTGTAACTGCGTTTAATGGCGTATGGCACAATTTTTTTCCTGGACCTAGTACCTAACTACTATATGCTATTAAGTGTTGTGCTCGAGTACACGCAAGCTGTTGTGATTTTTGCGAACCGGATCACGCGTGTTCCGACAAAATATTAGAAATTATCAAACGATACCAGCGCATTAATCGATCAGTCCAAGTAACAATAATATCTAAACAAGAATGTAGTTAAACGTTTGAATGCCTGTAGACACGAAAAGCGATTTGACAAGTGTACACGTGATATTATACATTGCATTATGTATTGTATTTACGGTCGCATTGTTAGAGTAAAGTTTTTTCTTAAATTATCAACAATCTTCTATCGCAAATTTTCTATAAAACGCTGTAAGTAAAAATTAATGCGAAGATTCCAAATAAAAATAATCAAGAAACTGGATACCATTCGAAAAATGAATTCAAATGTATGTTTGTCAAAAATATTAAATATAATATGATGTGATTACAATATATTTGAAAGAAAACTGTTTACATGTGAACTATTTTCTAAATCTCTTCTTGAAAGTATTTTTATGGTTATTTTACAGTGATGATAAATTTATTGCGCACATACTAAATAGAAAACGTATAATTATCTATTTGTTTTACTTTTGAATAAAACAGATGGAAGTTTTATGGTAGTTTATTGCACTGAAAAAATACCAAAAAGCTTTTGTCATTTGTTCTTAATTGAAAATATTCATCTTAAAATTTCCTTACATTGAATGATTAAAAACTTGAATTCTAGATGTCTATTAGAAAGGTTTTATAACGTTCAATCCGGTTGGAATTTGTTCAATTCCGTCGTCAGGTTATTGCACTGTTGACATTCGAAAGTCGTCGTTTTTCGTTGTTTCAGCAAAATGATTATTATTTTTTTCGCAATACAACGTTTTGGAATACTCAAAATGACTGTTTGGAGCTGGGTGGTAAAATATTGACTTTGTTTTTGTGAAATCCTTCTTCTTCTTTTTTTTTTTTTGTATTTTAAAAATAAAAACACTTCCGACCTTTTTAAACCACTACCAGACCTGTATAAACGCATTAATCATGGGATTTAATTCATTAGGAGAAATTGGAACCCGTCCAACGAGCTATACTAATACGATAATCTTGGCTGTAGATTTCACGGTTTCGATCGCCAAAGTCACGTTTTAATTTCACCCGTGTCCAAAACAATACTGTTAATTGACACACGAGGCTACCGATTGAACATCGATTGCGAAGCGCAGTATAATGTATTGTGTAATTGGTCTTCTTCGCCCACGGTTTTTGCATTCACACTGTCGTTTTATCATTACATTACATTACATTACCATCATTCAAATATTAACAACGAACAAATGCAAAAACTAAGAACGCGTAACGATAAAATGTAATTGAAATAAATTACACGTGTGATAATGATTTTTTACACGTGGAAAGAAATGCACATCGTATATTACGATTTTCTGATTGCTTTTCTGTCTCGGTTACGATTCGTTATTAATTGATTGTTTCATTTCGGAGACCTTTGATTTCGCAAAACGAGTTTAACTGTACCATTGTACTGTGATCACCGAGACAACGTTTCGCTAAACGTTTAAGACTTTTAGTAAAATAATTTCAATTTCTAATCACTCGAAAAATATCTTGAACATTTTACGTACGCCGGTTCGCATGACTCTACAAATACGTGAAGACCGGCGGATATTCGGATTAAACGGTCAACGTCCAAATTAGTGTTCGATTGTCTATTCGTTCGGAAACAAATATCATATCTGATCGATTTTTGCGGACAGACGGGCATAATGGGACATTCGTCGATACGTGATTTTAATACGTTTTCTTACTACTCGCACGAGACGGAATCATGGTCGGCAGCCGTGACCATTTTTCAGACTTCTCAGCGACATACATCCCTCGTTTCTGATGAACAAAACCAATAAACTAACTCGATCAAGTGTAATATGCCACATATGACTAAACTACTAAAACTAAGAATTTATTATATTACATAGAAAAACAACTTTGTGTTTTGTATTTTTCTATATTTAAATTACTGAGAAAATTCGATGTACCAGTTAGAGTCTAATCTTATATTAAATTGATCTAAATTTTCTAAAAAATATCATAACAATCGATGAAACAATAATTATGAATATGATATTGAGACAAAGCTTAAAACATCACGGTTGAAGTCAACAAACTCTTTAAGACCAAAAAGAGCAAGGCAAGTATGATCAAATGTGAAAGTTATATTTATCACATTTTTTAATTTTTATGGGACAGTTCATCGCGAATGGGTACCTCAAGATCAAATGGTAAACAGGTTTTTTTATTTCGAAGTAATAAAAGGATTAAGTGAAAAAGTTAGGAAAAAAAGGGCAGAAAGTTTGAAAACTAGTTCTTAGATGCTGCATCAAGACTGTTCCCCAGTCCACATCTCATTGCTTATTCGTTAGTTTTAAGCCAAATATCAAACTTGAGTCGTTACACATTCACAGACTCATCTGACCTGCTTCATGTAATTTTAATTTTGTTTTCTAAGTTGAAATCAACATTCAAGGACGTCGTTTAAAAATAATTGATGACATTAAACAAAATACGGAAAACAATCAGAAAAACAATGTATAAATATATATACATTTTTAGCCTGAAGTATTATTATATTTTTTAAGTACCATCGGTTTCGAATTAAAAATTCATCCTATTTACAAAGTTAATAAAATCACAATTCATCTTAAAGATGTTCCCTTAAATGTTTACTATAAGTGTTTTCAAAAGGTGAAAAGAAGATAGCATCGGTGTATTGCTTCTTAGGCAGATAACTTTGAAGAACATTATGTGTAGTTAAAATAATATTGTTATATATTATTATAATATTATTGTTTTAATAAAGATTTAATTAAAATCCTGTTATTTTTTTATCACACCATATATATATATCGTGCAACTATACCTCCAGTTCGTGACATTGTCGTAAGAAATATGCATAGTTATCAAAACTTTATTTTAAGTAAGTTATAAGGACAGAACCTACTTCCTCACCATGCTTTCAGGCTTTCCTTTAGTTCCTTTCCTCTATGTACTAGAACCCACGAGGATTTTATTTGTTATTTCAACTACATCATTTTTAACTGTCCTTCTCTTCTTCGTAGCTGACAATATCTTTCTTTCCTATCATCTTTTGGTTATAACACTCTTGACACTAATCCATTTGCTATATTACACAAGACTTTTATAGAATTAATACAACATTAATATTTATATTTATCTCAGATATAAATCCTGACAAGTAATATCTTTTTCCATATATTTTATTTTTGAATCCTAATATACTTGCAAGACTGTTTTCAATTGTGAAATCTATCTTTCAATTACAATTAATAACACACCTCATTTTAGAAACAGTAGGACCCATAGAGAAATTAGTAGGAGGGTAAGTAATATCTGGTTTTAAATAATGTTCATTATTTTAATAAATTTTACTAGAAAAAAAATTGTGACAATGTCTAAAATAGGATTGGGTTTCGGTACAATTATTTGAATACAATTATTTGTTTCATTAACATTTGGAAATATATTATATGTCTGCAAACATAATAATGCTATTTCAGAATTCTTGCGAAATTTTATTGTTGGAAAATAACTCGATTCAATACAGACCCGGCGAACTCCGTTTCGCCACCAGATTCGTTTTATGTAACATTTCGTTTGGTGATTAAAAGATAAAGAAAAAAATTTTTTTTGTTATATATTTGAAAAGGAAAATATTTATTTCATTTCACAACAGTAATAAATTCATTATAAATTCATTAAATTCATCGCCAACAATAATTGCAGCAACATCATTAACGGTGGGTGCATTGAATCTTCGCACATGTTCACCTGTTGGAGTACAATCCGCTCTTATGACAAATTTGTGCGTATCCGATGGCATTCGTTCCAATGCTGTTTTGAACAAATTAACCACAGCATTATTAGCGTGAAAAAATGCTTGCAACTGTTCAATAATTCGTCTCTTTAACTGTTGTGCTCCCTGTATATTGCACCGCACGTTCAGCTGATTCACCATCGACGAAATGAAATATATTTGCAGAAATTGATGCGGTTCATCTGGTGTTGGCACCATTGAACCATGCAAATGATATATTTGACCTTGTATCTGTAATTGCAAATAATCATTAAAATTTGTTCATGAATACATTGTAAATCGTGTGATGGTGTAGTGTGTGGTGTATATGAAGTTGTTATGTGTTGCAATTATGTGTTGGTTATGTGTGTTGTATCTTTTACCTTGCAAGTCGGCATGAAGCCGCCTTCTCGAATGATATTAGCTCCAAAGCTTGAAGAAAATGGCTGGAATCGGGATCACTTCCATCAAACAATGTTTTCAGTGGCTGTGGTGGTGTAAGTAATGGATCCAGTTTGACTTTTCCACTTGCGCAGCACAATCCAACCGTTTCTCTTTTGAACTTTACCGCATTGCAATATCGGCATATAGTCGTCATTCGTCCAATATCCAAATTTTCATCATCACTGTAGTTCGCAGTGGGATCATATTGGAATGCCAAGCGATTGTATGATGCCAATGATCTTCGTGTGCTCACGCGATGTCTCAATCGGTCATTTTCTCTTATTATATTTTTTCTTTCTTCTCTTAAGTTCCTTGAATAGACTTGTTGCTGGCTTGCATGTCTTGTGCGGCGGCCGATGTTCGCACGTCGTTCTCTAGGCATTTTGGACTATGGACAGAGTGTTGAATTTAACTTCAAATGCACGATCCACATAATTTACACTGAGCTTAAATGAAATTAACTGAGCAGAGAATAATGACTATCTATCACACACTTTATCACGCACCGTTGCTATTGGTTTGAAGTACATGCTATGTATAATAGATGGCGCTGTATGTGAAAAACGATTTCCCCACTTTTCTGTTGAATTTTTCCTGAATTTTCCAGAATTTTCTTTGCTATAAACCTCACGGAGCCCAAGACCTTTCCAACGAATGCAAAACCGTGGAAATCGGTTCGTGCGTTCTGGAGTTATAGCGTCAGGGAGGAAAACCGGACTTATTTTTATATAATAGATAAGATAATATAATATAATATAATATAAAAATAATAATAATAATAATAGTAATAATAATAATAATAATAATAATAATAATAATAATAATAATAATA